AATGCTCCTAGGGTTTGTTGGCTACCGCACGGAGCGGTACAACCTCTACCCATCCCACATAACATATAACATACAACATCACCACTGAGCATGCAATAATCATATAACATCACAAGTAGTCCTATAGGTCTACCTAACTGGCATAACTACTAGCATGCATCACTAACTCATACTCAACAACTAACACTGCTAGGATAACATATCCAATGGGCCGGCCTTGGTGCCTTAGACCCCTTAGTATAGTGATGATAACTCACCTCGCAACTGTCGTCTGAACTAGAAAGCTCAACTCCCGGATCACCAACACGAACTCTACCACCTATAGTTACCATAAGACCCTTTTTCATAAATTTCCAAATTACCAAAATACCCTCAGAAGTCAACTGGTCAACTCTTGGTCAAGGTCAAAGTCCACAGTCAAAGTCAACAATCCATGTTGACTCGACTCGTCGAGTGTAGTTCACCGACTCGTCGAGTCCTTCCTGAACTCGAGAAGTCATGAAATCCTTGGTTGGCTCGTCGAGTTCCCTACAACTCGCCGAGTCCATACGTGTCCAAAGGTTCGGGAGAAACCCTAGCCGACTCGCCGAGTCATTCGACTGACTCGCCGAGTCGAAGGCATTCTTCATCTGACTCGCCGAGTTGTTCATGCAACTCGTCGAGTACATGACTATCTTCATATGACTCGCCGAGTCAACCTTGCGACTCGCCGAGTCCCTTCAATCCTTCAACCATATAGATGCTTTTTAAGCCATGCAAAGGTTCCATATTACAGATCCAACCTTCCAAGGCCTGCTTATCACGTAAAGTTGCAAACTTTACGTACATGCAAAGCTCTAAGGCCCTTAAATGAAAAAAACTAAGCTTGCAATGAAGTCTCACACTTGAGGGAATGCTCATACTAGGCAAGGCTGATTACTTTAAGGATCTAGGGGTCAAAGGGAATCCAGATCTGAAGTTACAACTGCAGATCTTAGCTCAAACATAAGAAACCTTTCATAAGACCCATCCAAAAGAGGTTAAAAGAGAGATGAGCAAAAGAAGCAGCTTCATACCTTCCACAGAGTGACAGCTGAAGAATCTCTTAGCTCCCCACGAGTTCCTAGCCTTGATTTCCTTGTTTTCCCCAAGTGTTTCCTTCTCCAAAATCCCTCCTCCAAGCTTGAACACACCAAAAGATCACACACTCGACTTAGGGTTTGAGAGGGACAAGAAGTAGTAAAGGGGAGGCTGGGGGAGGCCAATGATCCTTTAAATAGGGTGCAATACCCCGAAATTTAGGGTTTCATCTGCCAGCTCCTACTCATCGAGTCCCTTCTTGGACTCGGTGAGTAGGTCACTAAAACACGCGAACCAACCCGCTGCTACTCGACGAGTAGGGAAACCAACTCGTCGAGTAGACCTTGAAAACAAGAAAGTTCTTATATTAACTAAATACCTGAGAATCGGGGCGTTACACCTATTCAACAGTTATTTTATAGGCCATTTCCTTATACCCCTCTTAGAGTATGACTTCATGAATGAGACCTACTATTGATTTGATTGCCTTTTGTATATATATATATATATATATATATATATATATATATATATAGTATTAAACATTTAATATTACATAGTATATGATGTATTTTAAAAACTTTTCAAAATACTAGGTCTAAAATTAATTTTCGAAATTAACAATTAATTAGTTAATTTTAACCAAATAATGATTTTCCAATTATCCTTTAATTAACCAATTAAATTAATTTAAATCATAAAGGATTTAAATAATTATTTTCAATTAAACAATTAACAAAATAATTCAAATGTAAATTATTAGGGATTATATAATTATCTTCAATTAAACAATTAATAAAATAATTCAAATTTAATCCTAATCCCAAGAACCCTTCTGATTTTCGAAAATAAGGGTTTAGGGTTGCTAGGTTTTTAATTATCCAAATTTTGAGGCATTTAAATTTGTAATTAAGGAAACTAGAAACCCTAAGATATACTTATCGATATACGAAAATAAGGGGTGGAGGTTAGGGTTTTAAGAACCCTAGCCTTTTACGAAAATTCAGGCCATTGGGGTGTAATTTCAATAAACCCTGATTTTGATCCATTCACTATTATGCACAATCAAATAGAAAACTAGGGCTCTGATACTACCCTTGGGTTTTCTAGGTTATAAAATTACATATGAGCGGAAAAACGCTTAAACTCTTAAGTTCACATGTAACCTAAAAAGGATCTATGTTTTCTCTATTGAAGGCAATAGAGTATGAATATTAAGAAACCCTAAGGAGAGCTATGAAAACTGAAATTCACACAAAGATTAGGGTTACATACCTTTTGATTATTATAATAAATAATCACACCAAATCCTCTTGAAGTTCCTTGGAAAGCAAGCACCAAAAACTTGAATGCATCTAATGGCTTGTACCCAAAAGCCGAGTAACTAAAAGACTTGAGGAAAGAAGAGAGGGAGAGTAAATTTTCGGCTATTGGCTTGTGCAAGGGAGTGGACGGAAAATAGCTATCCTAGGGTCCTATTTATAGCTAATAATGAACCCTTGAAACCCTAATTTGAACAATATAATAATACATTTCAAATTAGTAATTATCCAAGTCTTTTATTATCTAATATGATTAATCTAAAAACCCTAAAATGACTAGCCAAAACCGGTCATGCCTAGTAGGTTCTAGAAACTGTATTTTGTTCAACTATTAAACAATTACAACTTAGCCTCCGCATTTCAATTAATTCTAATTAACCCGAATTTAATTCCATTTAATTTTTGATTAAATCTTAATTAATAATTACTACTTCAAATTAATATATTAATCATATAATATATTAATAAATCATTTATTTCAATTTATTAATCACATAATAAATTAACAAATCAGTCTCTCTCTCCAAAGGTCATTCTCTTCGGTTACTAGTTATGAGGGCAACCTAAAAGGATTTTACTTCTAATTCAAGAATATATCAAATTAGTTATTAGAATAAATAATATACTAATGTGAAATTCAATCGTCATGACATTTCGTTTATACATCAATTTGTTGTTGTTGTGTTTTGCTTTTAGGTTAATCAAGATTACACTTAAATGGGAGGGGTTTGTTGCTAATCTGTATTACCAATATGTATTTAAGTGTAATGGATTAATTTGATGACCAAATATAATATTCATAAACATTAAGCACGTAAGGAAGATACAGAGTGCATACTTGTTTGACTTTGTTCAATATACAAAGTAGATTGTCATTTCGGGGCGAAACCCCTGAATGAACGGGGGTCCGGAGGCAGCGCCCCTGGGAGAGGGGTCCAAGGGGCAGAACCCCTGATCGAGCTGTCTTGTGACAATTTTTCAGACAAGAGATGTACTTAACCAATTTTTGGTCAATTTTCTGGTACTTACGAAATTCATAACAATCTTCTCATCTGTTCTAGTTTCTCATTTTGAGTCTTATCCAAGTGTTGATTTTGGGAGTACCACCGAAACACTTCAATTTGAAAGTGTTTCATGATTCTCAAAATTCCAAAGTGCTATTACATCTCAAAAATCTAACAAAAATATCGGTGGCAAATGGCTTGTTGCTGACATGAAAATGGCAAAGGATGTGTAGATGGTTTGATTCATCTGAAGCCCATTATGCAATTTACGCAGGATTTGGAATTGGGAACGCAACCGGTTTTACCTATGGACCACTAGTGACTAGACGACTCGAGCATTTAGTTTTAACAAGATAAGAAAAAGAGTTAACTTCGTAAAATGGTAATCAATAATTAATTTGTTTTTAATTCATTGCAATAGTATAATAAAACATAAAATAAAGTTTATTAGTTTCTTTTGTTTTTGGAAAACAACAAATATATTAAAACAAGCCCACATCAAGATGATCCGGACAGGAAAGTACAACGTAAGAAAAAAATGAGAAACCAAGAAATTACAAACATGGAAACAGACATAGGTTCCAAATTCTCCAATCAATGTTTTTATATGTTTTTATATGGTTTATTAGTTTCTTAGACTTGAGTTTTGGAGTTTTTGTTGGACAGCAAAAGATATTTGAATTATTAATTATTGTTTCGTTTTGTATATAACGTTATCTTCAACCTTGATACGATACCAAAGATAATAAGATGGATGTGATAAATTAAATATTGGGGTATAATCAAGTGCTCATTGCCTGGGTATCACTTTTCTAGTAAACGATAAAACAGAGCAAATCCGTTAAATAAACACCATTTTTAGAAAAGTTTAACAGCGGGTTTGTGCCCGTTTGGTTTTCATCTTGATGTAAAAACAATTTGATATTATTTTGAGTAAAATTTATTGTTTAAAAAAGAAAGGAAAAAGTAATGACAGAAATCTACTATATGCTATCTGTTCAACGATAGCCCAATTGTTGATTACGTCTCTTATTTGAAAATTAATCCAATTATATGGATATTATATATGAATGGTTTGACAAAACCTACCCATTTCACTCCTATTTAACATCCAAATTTACATGAATGATAAATTATCGGTAAACAACCCAATATGATTCTCACCTCCATTTATTCAATCGAAGTTTGTTTGAGCTAGTGGTGGTCAAATATTGACGACAATGCCATCAATTTTATCTCCATGTAATTGGCCAAATATAGAGACATAGAGTTCTATGGTCTATAATATATGAGTTTGTATTCTTTCTTGATAAGTTTATTAGAACAAATGCAACGATTGTCTTAGTCATAAGTCTATTTTTTTTTAAATAGTTCAAATATTTCAAATATAATGATAAATTACAAATTTGACCAACAACTATCTTTGTTAGTTAAAAGGAATATTAGTTATATGTAACTAACAATAACAGTAAAATGGTGAGAATTGAACAAATTTATTATACGTAACTAGCAATAACTAGTAGTTATTCCCGTATTCATTCAAAAGATGATGTACAATTACTTACAAACCCTCATATTCATCTCTTCTTTACAATTCTCCAACACTTTCACATTTTCAAAGTTCATAACCAGGGAATCTAGCTTCATCAGGATTCATCATATCTAAGAAAAGATACGCCATGCCTCCAACTCCTTCAAACAACGAAAGCGGATTCTCACCTGTATCCATCTTCTTTTTCCTCATAAGCTTGACTCCTCTACCAAGTAAAAAACAAGCAAACAACTTGGCCCTTTTCAACATCTCCTCATTTTTTGTCAACCTATAAAGTGCCAAAAAAACATAAACATTCCCACTAATCCCATGACAAAGTCCAACACTTTTCAACAACCCACGTTTCCACACAACTTCTCCAGCCTCCATTGCTGCATCCACAAACTCCTTATCTCCAAAAACCTAACCAATTTACATCTTTCAAGTTACTACTACAAATTAACTATTACAACTAGAATATTTAGTTATTCAATTAATTACCTCAGCAGCTTTGACAAGGGTGAGAGCCATTCCAGATGCTCCTTGACACCATTGGACAAAAATATCCTCTCTATCATCTTCTTTAGAAGGATAGTTCCCACTAGGGAATCTAGTATTAATCAAGTACTTAAGGCTCTTCTTCACATCATCTTGTACATCAGGAGTCAAATCAAAATGCATCAAAACATGCAAAATCCCAGCTAAACCATGAGCAGCACCCAAATGTTTAGTGCCAAAATATGTATACATCAAAGGGCATCTTGTTCCAGCACCCAATCTTCTTCCATTTTCAATCATCTTATTCACTAATCCATTCTGTTTTTATCTAATAAAATGGTTCTTTAATTAGTGTGTAAATTAAACTCAAAAGAGAAATTAGTTAATTAATCCATATGAATTATGAAATGAATTTTACAGTGTAGGATGAAGGAATCACTCCATCACCTAAGTGCTTATTCAAGAACAGACATGCCCATAAGTGTCCAGCTCTCCCGTGTAATATTCCATCTCGCCTATATTCCTTTACTTCATTCTGTTCCATTTTTATATAAATTAATTACGTACCATTATGCTTAAGCAAGAAAATCCATATATATATATATATATATATATATATATATATATATATATATATATATATATATATATATATATATATATATATATAGGTAACTATATTAATTACCTCTTTGAATCGGGTCAAATATTGTTCAATCATCTGTGTATTTCCTTGGTACTTTGACACAACAGCACCAAGAGCACAAACTCCAGCAGTTCCACGTACAAAGGTTATATCCCTGTCATTTTCGATTTGGAGAACATGTTAAATATGGATTTATGTACGTATCTAGATAATGAAATATATGGAGGGTACCTATAGTATCCAGCAGCAGAGACACAAGCTTTGATGATGTTAGCAGAGGTGTTGAGATCATCCCTGTTGCGATTCACTAGAAAATTTTTCAAGAGCAAGAAAGCAGTTCCCGGAGTATCATCATAAAGAGTAGAGTTGACGTATATTCTTCTTTCTCCGCTCCGCCATGTGCCCGACACAACCTGTTAAACATTTCCACAAACACATGGTAGGCATGCACACAAATTAATGCAGAAAACCAAGAAATTAACACGCAGTTCCATTCCCCCAAAAGATTCAGTATCTATAACCATGAGAGAGAGAGAGAGAGAGAGAGAGAGAAAGAGAGAGAGAGAGATGGTACAGATCCTTTCTGATATAGGGCGGATTTTCTGAATTTGCTACGGAGAGTGGAGGCACGCAAATCAAGTAGGTTCAGGATAAAATCTTGAGACTCTTTTGCAATAACCTCGCCACGTTCATTATCTCCATCTACTGTTGACGTTTCTTCTTCGAAGTCTCGCATGAAATTCTCAAAGTACCAGTCTGTCATTTCTCCGACGACGATGGCTTACTACGGCACATACTGAGAGAGAGAGAGAGAGAGAGAGAGAGAGAGTGAAGGGGGTATGAAGAAGAAGATATCTACGGCGAAGAATTTGTTGCTGACATGAAAATGGCGAATATTACGATAGGAGAATTGAAAATGGATTCCCTGAAATCAAAGAAATGGTGACACTATATACACCGGAGAAGAGAAAGTTGCTCACTAACGGATTTACGAACCTAACAAACTTAACTAACTGAACGTAATTTGCATAAAACCGCTTCCTTTGTAAATTACAATTATGCCCTCTAATACTGTGGTATCTGGCACGTGTAGATGATCTGATTCATTTGAAGCCCATTGCCACCAGACGCGTTGGTGACATATCGAGTAATTTTGTTTAAACAACTTCCACAATGCTCGATCGATTTATTATTTTTCTATATTAGCTTCTTAATAAATTATTAACTGAACAACTTTTTTTAACTGAATTGAATTATCCATATTTGTTAGAGGTGACAATCCTACACAATACAAAATAAATGAATTTGAATAAGAGATTTCAAAACGTATTTAAATAAACGTGTTGACATGCCTGGACACAAAACTTAAATGGGTAAAATTAATATCCGATGATAGAAAATCCTTGTTGGGGTTTTTATTGCCCTAACATTATATAATACCCAAAGTTACATAGGAGTCCCTGTACTATACATAAATAATAAAAATAGTATGTGCAGTAAGCATTAGGTCATATCCAATGCATTAAACCTATAGAGAGTTGAATAGATTGCCCAACTAGGAGAGAGACTATATATATATATTCAATTAAATTCTTAAAAAAACCATCAACTTTTCATTACACATTCTATTCAACTCCACATTCTCTCTCATCTATATTATATTCAAATTTGTTCTATTAAACTCTCATCGTGGATAGCGACAGATGCCTTAAGCCCCCCCCCCCCCCCCCCCCCTCTTTAGACTTCTAAGTACAGAATGCTTAATGATTATGGTGGAAAGACAATCGATTATAAAGCAGAAAGCAATTTTGTAGATTAGCAGAACGAAGAAAGCATAAAATCTAATAAATCAAACGATTGGTGATATGTTCGTGCTCCCAAGCCTCACGCCACAAATCGTTCATGAGATATCTATTTGTGATTTTTTAGAAAAGATGAATTAGACGGCTGCAATTTGCATCGTTCCCCTTTCTTTAACTCCCGTCTACTACTTCTTGAAGACCCTAAACGCCAAAAAGATGACAATTAGGTATTTGTAGTGAGTTTGCATTATTGATTTGTTGGGCTTATTAAGTGATTCAATTAATGGGCTACTGTATCAGTTTTTTGTTATAATAACATACCGACTTATATTAATTAGGTTTATTTATTTGATTTATATTGTAACAATTTCCATGATTTAATAAGTTATTAAATTGTATTTTTTATGTATTGGTTGCCTCTTTTATCCTAAGGAGTTTGTCAAAAGTTGGTTTATTATTTTTATATTGTTAGCTGTGTTCCTTATAAAAAACAGGAAGTTAATCCCGTAGTGAAAATATAAATAAATATTTTCAAATATTAAAATACACATGTTCTTCCACCATAGAAATAAACCATCATCTTTAAATAAAAATTGGGTCTGTCTGTTGCTCTAAGTTTTAATTGATAAAAGTATATTTTATATTAACTTTCTTTAGATTTTGAGCTTGTTATAATTTAAACCGTATTAAACTTGTTATGTGGTTTCCTTTCGAAGTTTTGGTTTCAGCCCCTTACTTATAGTGTTCATGTTCCACCCCTGGTGGATGGCCTTATAACAGTTAGCTAAGGTCTAATTTTTTCAACTCATTTATTGTCACCACATGACACATATAATACTTAATACAAACATTTCACATAAAAGATGCATATATAAGAAATCATAAATCACAAATCAAGTTTAGGTTTATGTATTATTGAGAGTAACTCACTTCAAAGATCTTCCTTACATGATCTATTAACACCTTATAATGTTAACTGTTAACCTATAAGTGATAATGATCAAATATATGATATATAGAAACTTTACCTAATATATTCCTAAATATTTATGTTGAACATTGTTCGTACAACTATACATTTCAATTGTATAATTGTACACTCCAAGTGTACAATGGTATACTTATTTTGTGCAGCTGTATAAAGCAAGTCAGAGTTCCCGTTCTCAAGGAAACATACAACCATATAAAGTCATGCATAGTTGTACACTTATCTTTCTCCATTACACATAGTAAATGTACAGGCATATGAAATGGCATGTACATTTTTACAAAATGAGCTATGTGAAACTATTCACAAAAAATCAAGGTTGATTAACCTAATTTTAATCTGCAAGCATTCATTATCTTCTAAGGAGGAACAGATCATTCAGGGCATGATAATCCTAATTTATCCATTAATTAAATAAATCATCAATTCCAAAAGCTCCATTAAAACTCACTTTTGATCAAATTGAAAGTTTTAAAGCTATGTTTTAGACATTAAAACAAAATTTCACATCCATCTCATATCATTAATGTAATTCATTTATTAGATTCAAAATCCACAAGATGTGGTGATGGTTTCATGAAGCTAGGGTTTGAAAAACTTCATTAAAGCTGCATGAGCTCAAATTCATCATATGAAGGAGATTACATCACTAGATTAGTGTTCTACACATAGACTATAATACTAGATTCAAATCAATCAGTGGATTAACAATATAAATCATATTTAGAAGAGATTTATAACATTTAGAAGCTTACTGACTAAGAACTTGATGAAACAATTATCTTAAGGTGACTTTTGTTTCGAGTATGTTTATGAAGGAATTGAAATATGTCAAGAATTGTAATCCAATTTCATATTTGTTTACTTGGCATGAAATGAAATTTGAATATAATTTTATATTCTATTTGGTTGTCAGAAAATGAAATTGAAATAATATAAAATGACATAATTATCATCCCTTAAATAACAACTGATTTTTGCTAAATAGTCCCATGAAAGGGTAATTTGGGTTTAACATAGTTAACATGGTATATTTTCTAATATGTCAAGTTTAGTTCCTGATCAAACTCAAATTTTTCTCCTTAACCATCTTCCAATCCTATTGAACATTTTAAACTAATAATTAATTAATTATTTCATTTATTTTTAATATTTTTTATTTATTTGTATTTTATTCTAATTATTTTTGCTTTATTTAATTTCCTAATTTTTTTTTTACCAACAAAGACAAATTCTAGCCCTAAAAGTGGGTGTTACCGGAGGTACTATCCCCATAGAATATTTTAGATCCCTATCTTTTTCTTTGGTACATCATGTTGACTTGAATATCATTATGATAACTAAATACATTTCACATTAAGTGTATGTATGAGGACACCTAGTTTCTTTTCATCACTTTAATCACACATCAGGAATGTTATGCATAATGTTATAATAACAGAAAACTTTCCATAGTTGAAAGTTGAAACATTTCATAATTTCCTTAACAATTTCATTCATATTCTCATAATATAGTTTACTGAATTAAAGAGTTAGTTTATTTATTTTCATAACATACTTTATAAAAGAGTTCATTTACTTTTATAACATAGTTATAAAAGAAAGTTCATTGATTTTCAAAAGATACAATTCATTTGCTTTCATAATATACATTAAACAAAAACACACACACACACTTGATATAATAACTAATAAAAGCAATGAGTTTGCTTGAGCCCGATCCTATAATTAATTGATTCATGAGCCTTCATTAATTAATTTTCGTGAAAATCTAGTGATAAACCCATTTCGAAAATATTAAATTGAACTAAAGTATTGATGATAAATAAAACATACAACATAGGCGCAAAATTGGTCGATACATACATTTGAAATAAAAACAACCACATTCAATCCAAACAACCAAAACAAGTCCAAAACAAGTAAGAACAACAAATGCACTTAATTAGATCCTATGTAACGATTTTAATGATTTTAATTATGTTATGCATGTGATTAATAACAACAATAATACTTTACAAGAAAGTAACATTACATAAATCATTTGTTGGGGATTGGATGATTCAACTACACTAATACAAAACACAACCTCATCAAAATCGCAATTCCATCCTTGTTGTTTTTGTTTTTATTTTTATTATTAATTTTTTTTCTAAATCAACGGCGAATGGCATTGATACTTACGTGAAAACAAGCCTTGAGCAAGCTATATTTACAGACTTCAAAAACATATTACAGCCATATTAGTAAGAGGCTATTCACAAATATCATACAAATCAATCATATGCAACTCCATTCCCAGCATTCTATGTAGAAAAAGAATCAATGAATAATAACAAAGACATGAGTAAAAGATGTGTCAACATCTTCTCATTGTTGAATGCAATCACGGGTTTACTCCAAGTTTCCTCTGCTCCTTTTCACAAAAAGGTATAAAAGTCTGCATATTTCTCCAATTCAGGCTTTTACCGAGTCAGGTTTTTTTTTTTTTTTTTTTTTTTTCAGATTTACTCATGCCTCAAAACTCCCGATAATGCTGCTTTGTAAAGGCCTCATATTCACATGCTTTGAATAATGTTTCAAGAATGGAACCCCTTCTTGAGTACACTCATTGTCACTCTCATAGCCTTTTTGATGTGGCCCAAGAGCTATGAGAATGATTGCCAAAAACATACACAATCCCTGGGATTTAAGTAAGAAAAGCTTCAGTCGAATTGAAGATAATTGATCAAATTAGATCTATCAAGAATATATAATGACATTTTTAGTATGTTAACCTCAACACAGAGAATAGATAAGCCAACCCATTTGCAAAAATGAATGTTTTCCTTGATAAAATCCCCCAACTCAATTAGATTTCCACTTGGGTCTTTTGGGAAGTCCTGATTTGATTGAAACGATTCATCAAAAATGGAAGCTATCAAGTGAAAGATTAGCAAAAAGTGAGAAAAATCATATAATGTACCTTTTCCC